TAGGGGGTGGTTATTCTATGGGAGGGTTTTCCGAAAAAAAAGTACTGAATTCTTGGGGTCTCGATGTGGTTTAATGTCTGGGGTTGTGGGTTTAGGGTTTAGGGTTGAGGGTTTAGGGTTTAGGGTAGTTTGAGGTCAGTTCAGGATGTCACAGGACAGACAAGGGCTCGGCACTTTCGGACTTATCTTCTTTTCAATGGGCAGTTTGTGGGTCACCTAAACCCCTAAACCCTAAAGCCATAACCAAAAACTCTAAACCCCAAAAGCTACGAAACCCTGAAAGCCCCGGTTGCTTCGAAGATGCCAAGAAGACTCGATGAGCAGAGGGACCAGCAGCAAACCACTCCCAGGAGACTTCCCGAACACCACGGCCCAAAAAATCTTCCCCCCATCTGAAGGGCTTTGAGTTTAGGGTCTACTGGTGCACTCGGCGACATGGAAACCATGCTTCCCCCATCTCTCTCAGGCTTCCCCACACTGATACTGGCCGGATTCAGTGATTCAGGCCTCAGGAGCACGGCCCACACGCCTCCCACAAGTACTGGCAGATATTTCGAGAGCAAAACCAAGGCAAAACGTGGTCAATGTATTGGCATGCATTACAGGGAGCCTGGCCAGTGTTCGACAAATCCTGTGCACATAGTAGCACAACAGAGCGCAATTTATGCACCGCACTACAGCGAGAGCCGCGTATCGAAGAAGCACGCTAATCAGCTTGTTCTGATTCACTCTACTCAAGACGTTGAAACCCTATCGTAAACCCTGAACTCTCAAGCCCGCAACCCCTGAACTACTAACTTCTATACTCTAGATTAATTATATACAAGAAAACCCCACAAAACACCCACATAGACGTTTTAACCCTAGAGCCCAATAACTCAAACCCGTAACCTTGACGTAACATTAACCCTAAACCCTAAACCCCAAACCCCCACCCCCTAAACCCTAAACCCTGGACCTTACACCCTAAACCCGTAGGCCCTTCGGAACGGAGCCAAGCAACAAACATCCGAGGACCGCTCCAAGGAGCTGCTCCTGAGTGTTGGAAGAGATTTAGGGTTTAGGGTTTAGTGTTCAGGGTTTAGGGTTCAGGGTTTAGGGTTTAGGGTTCAGGGTTCAGGGTTGAGGGTTTAGGGTTCAGGGTTTAGGGTTGAGTGTTGGAAGAGATTTCCCTAAGGGTCCATGTACTCATATAGCATATACATGGGCCCTAAAGTACCTATATAGGGACTACATTAAGGCCAGTGTATATACTATATGAGCACATGGACCCTTAGGGTTTTGTAAAAGGAAGAAATAGCTTGGGATTTAGGGTTTAGGGTTTAAGGTTGAGGGCTTTGGGTTTAGATCTTATAGCGGGGTCTTATAAGTTCGCATGTTACGATGGTTTCTCTGGAGCTAGATGGGTGCAAAAAGGGGTCTTGAACCTCGGATCCCAGAAGCAGCCGTTAAAGACAAGTAGTACCCTAAACCCTAAACCGGTCGTTAAAGGCAAGTTGTCGTCTTCTCAGGCTTCTCTAAGGGGCCGCAAGGCTTCTGCAAGCATACTATGCATGTTCCCAGGCTTCTAGAAGCATTCTTGAGGGGTTTCTTACCCTTAGCATCAAACTAGCCCCAAAGCCTTGTATAATAGGGTCTTTGGGCCCAAAAGGCTTAGAATATGAGACCTTTGAGGGTAACGGTTAAGAACTAGAAAAGGCTTTTGGGGTACATGAGCTATACCATAGGCCCCATAGTAGTTTCTTTCTGCGGCTTATATCTAGGATCCTAATAGGCAATCCCCAAAAGGAACTACTATGGGGCCTATGGGTTGCAAAACAAAGCCGGCGAGGCACTCCTTCCTGCCCGCGAGCTGGAAAAAAAACTAAAAATTTTAAGCCCTCACTCACCACGACAGCTATACTGAACTGGAAAGCCCTAGCAACAAATATCTCTGTAGCTGGTTCTTAGGGATTAATAATAGTAACCCTACTTCAAGGCCAAAGTATATACGATTTGTGCACATGGACCTCAGGGTGTGTCTTAGCCTCACAGCTAAATCCCCTGAAGCCAGAATAGTCCCCACACACGAAAAGCCCTAAACTATGCTAAACTCCATAAGCATTAAACCCCACAAAACCTACACCCTAAACCCCAAAAGCCCAACCCTAAAGCCCCAAAGCCTCAAACCGTAAAGCCTGAAAATCCTACATGATTGCCGGGCCGGGCTGCCCCAGACTCAACCATGCCAGGATCAAGCATGTGGAGAAGCTGTTGGACCTGCTCTAACCCTAAACCCTAAACCTCGACGGTTTAGGGCTCAAGCGCTTCGGGGGTTTGGGGTTTTCGGCGGTTTAGGGTGAAGAGCTGAGGGCTATGTCGTTCACGGCTCGAGGTTTAGGTGCTTGGGGTTTATGGGGGTTTAGGCTTGGGGTTATGAGTGTAATTAGAGGCTATAGCTTACAGGAGTTTAGCCACAAGGCTTCGCAAAGCCAACGGCATAAGTACGATGGTGACTGTCAATCACCCAAAGGGTCCAAAGTACCTTTGTAGTAGAATGTAGGGCTTCTATATTGGGATTTGTTATTATATATTATTATGTGGGAAAGTATCCCCCCCCCATAACAGTACCTAGGACCCTTTGGGATCATGATACCATGTCTGCAATTGCCCGTTACGGTCGCCGCCTCCGACCTCTCGCGCTATCATTGCCAGGACTGATACTAGAACTGCCTGTCTCCCAGGTCCCATCAGCTTTGTCTATGTGGGTAGCTGTCAAAATTAGGGTCCCTTTTGGGGTACCCTAAATAATAGGTGCCGTATTCAAATAAGGACCCAAAAAGGGACCATAATTTTGACAACTACCCATGTGAAGGAGCGATGATTGACCGGTATTACTACGTAGGCTCCCGGGACAGCAGCCCTGAGAACCCTCCAAAATCTAAACATGGAGCCCGTAACGCAAGCCATCATACAGTACATGTTGATTGAAACTTTCAGGCTAAGTATGTTGTATGTGTGTCTACGGTTTAGTCCGACATCCGTATTAAGCTTACCCCTTTTATCCCCTCAGCCACTGATAATGCTAGGGACGAAAGCAGTTCATTCCCTTCAACGCTACCATAAAACCCTAAACCACACACGAACAGAAACACACACGCACATTCAAACACACTAAAGCGCCCACCTCCTCGTCATCGAGCTCCGCCAACTGTGCAAATTTCAAGCAGCTCATCACGGCCTCCTGGAGGAATGCTTGGGGCTTCTACAAGCGAGAATCCATACATCCACCCATCCATCCATCCATCCAGCCATCCGACAGTCCGTCCGTCCTTCTACCTATCTACCTGTCTACCTTCGCGTGTATATATCCATCTATAGTGCACTTGTTGTTCCTACAATGGCTCAAAAGCAGTACATACGTTCACCCAAAATGCACAACAAAGGGGTAGTTCTCTAAAACTAGGGTCCCGCTTCAGGCCCCCAAAAAAACAACAGCAGTACATACATTCACCCCAAACCTACAACAAAGGGGTAGTTTTCTAAAACTAGGGTCCCGCTTCAGGCCCCCAAGATAATAAGTGCGGCACCCGTATCAAAGGACACTAAAAGGGACCCTAATTTAGAGAACTAGTATTGATGATATAAATCCTGCATGACCTTAAGGACCCTAATCTAAACTATGGGAGTTATGGTATATTCCGTATTATGGGTAATGCAGGATTTATATCATCAACCGCCTAAACCCTAAACCCTAAACCCTAAACCCTAAACCCTAAACCCTAAACCCTCATATACATTTGAGATCTGTTCCCCATTGAAACGATCAGAGCGCCTGGACGCTTCCGGACAGCTTTGAGGGCCTACATGCTCTGGGCTTACAGTACCCAAAGGGTCCTACGGTTGAGGATATATATATATATATACCCTATGCTTCCAGGGACCTCATTATTGGGTCCTTAAGGGGTCTAGGGCCCTAACTATAAGGTCCTTGGAAGAACAGGGTGTATATATATATATATATATCCTGCATTACCCATAATAAGGAATATACCAGAACACCCATAGTTTAGGGTGCCTAAAGTAATGCAGGATGTATATTATCAACAGCATGTAGTGTTCTGGGGATACGTCCCTAAATCATATAATATAAATTCCAAACTAATTATTGAAACCCTAAGTTCTACTATGCAGGTACATAGGACTGTTTGGGAGGGTACAGTTTAGGGTTAGGGGTCCAGGGCATCGGGTGCATCGCAAATACCCAGCTCTCACATCTCCTTTTCTCACGCCAGGCTCATAAGCCCGAGTCCTAGAGTTTACCTAAGAGGGTCATACCCTGACCCTTTTTTTAAGGTACTTAGTTTTATGGTTAGGTTCTGTTATATGAAAAAGTAGGTACCCTAAAAAAAGGTAAGGTATGACCCTATAGGTAGGGTTCACTGCCCTAAGCTCTACTTAAACCCTGAAGGCCCTAAAACCCTGAACCCAAGCCTAAATACATATTCCTGCGACACCCAGCCACTTCGAGCCTGGACGTCTGGGCTTGGAACCTGCGGCAAAGTCGAAATGTTGGACTGGTCGGGTCTTACATTCAAGCAGAAATAACCTGAAGCCCCCAAACCCTACCTGTGGCCCCAAAACCCACCTCAAGAGATTTATATAGAGAATCCGGAGGAACCCCAAAAGGTCAGCTTTTTCGGCTACCGGTAGACCCTGATACCCCGAGCCCTAAACTTAACCTTAAAAGAAGTCCGTGGCCTGTTGTCTATTGTTGTTCCTTGGTGGTCCTCTGAGAAGTAGGCAGCTCGTGGTTCAGAACAAGGGACCCAAGCAGGACCCTAAGTTCAAGAACAACACATTAAATCCCTACCTGGGCCCTTAAAAACCTCCGTTTTTAGGGATCGTTGCTATGATTTCCTTATATAAGTCCTTAGACAGGTAGGTTCTTTGGGGTCTAGGTATATCCTGAATCCTAAACCTTATAAGCCCTTCTTGTCTGCTCACCGACCGGATCGGCAACAGCTATGAACACGACCCGCGAGGGTGATGGCTCTGAGCAAGGTAGACCCCGGTTTAAAATAAGCCACTCTGCCATGCCCTTGTAGGGGTTTATGCTTCTAAATAGCAAAGGTACTTTGGCCTTAAAGTAGCCAAAGTACATATTCGCCTCGGCCCCGGCCGAAGCGGTCAAAGGTTCCTATTCAAATTCCCTCTACTAACCCCCCCCCCCCCCTGAAAACAGTGTTTTTTCTTTGGAGGGGGGGGCGCACGACGCGAAGCGTTTAGTTTGTTTGTGCACATGGACAAACCCTAAACCCTAAACCCTAAACCCCAAACCCTAAACCAAGATTGACATGGGGATGGCAGACTTGTGGCCTCGGGGCCCCTTTTCTGAAAGGAGCCCCCCGTTAGCAGGGTCTGGGCTTCCTGCCTTTTAGTGGGGTTTCGGGTGGGTTTTGGGGTTCAGGGTCTGGGGTTTGGGGTTTGGGGTTTGGGTTTAGGGTTTGGGTTTAGGGTTTAGGGTTTTGGGGTTAGGGGGATGGGAGGACAAGGGTCACATCGTAACCCTTACCCTCAAGGGACTCATCTTTTGGGGGCTCTGGGCCCGAAGACCCGATTATCTACAAGGCTGGGTTTAGGGTTTAGGGTTTAGGGTTTAGGGTTTAGGGTTTAGGGGCGATTTTGATGCTAGAGGGAAAGTTAGGGGTCCAGAGAAAGGGGTTTATAGGGATTCGGAGCTCAGGTTTAAAGATGGGGCTATTTTGATGCTAAAGGTAAGTTAGGGGTCCAGAGAAAGGGGTTTAGGGATCCGGAGCTCAGGTCTAGGATGGTTACAGGCTTGGGGATTCGCTCAGCGATCCTCAGTTCAAGCCCGATGCTGCTCAATGCAGGGATCTTCTTTTGCTCTCAAATCACTGTGCCAACGATCAAGATCTTGGGTTTTAAGAAGCCCTCTATACATATATATATATATATATATATAAACGTGTTTCTGGCGCGGAATTTCTGGGTCCAAAACTGATCGAAGACAAATCCCAGAACGCCACTATGGCCTGGGACACACGTTTTTTGTTTTATCGACCCCACCAGAATTTCCCAACACTTACGAAAAGTCGTATACCCTAAACCCTACCCATAGGCCCCATAGTAGTTCCTATTGAGGATTACCTAATAGGATCCGAAATACATGCCACAAAAAGGAACTACTATGGGGCCCATGGGTAAACCCTAAACCTGAATCAAGGCCCCTACCATGCTCAAAAGCGCCGATAGGCACTTCCTTGAGCGCTGGGGTCCAGGATCCCGCTGCAAGGCTTCAAGAGCCGCAGGGTGAGCGTTAAACCAAAACCCTAAACCCTAAACTCTAAAGCCCTAAACCCTACGGGTCCAAAGGACCCAATACTAACGTACTTTGGTGGCGGGTAGTAGATATCTAGGTTACTATTTCGGAGGGTATATGATTATTAGGTACTTGGACCCTTAGGGTAAACCCCAAACCCAAAACCCTAAACCCCTAAACCCTAAACTCTAAACCCTAAACCCTAAAACCTACACTCTAAACCATCAACCCTAAGCCCTAAACCCTAAAACCTCCACTCTAAACCCTAAACTCTAAACCTTAAACCCTAAAGCCTAAACCCTAAAGCCCAAAGCCCCTGAGCCGAGCCGAACCCGCCCTCGCCTGAAGCAGCTTGAAGAGAACACTCTCGCGACCCATCTCCTTACAGGGTTTAGGGTTTAGGGTTACAGGGTTACAGGGATTAGGGTTTAGGGTTTGCGGGGTTTAGGGTTCAGGGTTTGGGGTTTAGGGTTTAGGGTTTAGGGGTCTAGGGTTTCGGGGTTAAGGGTTACGGAGGTTCTGATCTGGATACTTGGCTCAGGCAGCTCAGCAAGCAGATTCTATCCTTAAACCCTAAGCCCGCTAAACCCTAAACCCTAATCTTCCTAAACCCCTCCACCCCACATCCTAAACCCTTACACCCCAAACCCGAAGGAGAGTTTCAGGTTTTTATGGGGCTCAGGGGTTGTCGAGTGCTTCGGGGTGAGGGTTCCTTCCTATATGGGTAGTTCTCTTATTTTAGGGTCCCTCTTCAGGTCCCCAAAGTAGTAATTGCGGCACCCTCATTTAAAAGGACCTTAAAAGAGAGCCTACTTGAGAGCTCTACCCATATGGTACCCGTCTCGCCTAAGCAGAAACTGCTTGAATACTGGGACCTCATGGTTAAAACTTGCTGAACGTGCATTTTAATGTTTGTGTGCTTTGTGGTGGTTGGCACGATACTTCAGGTCCTTCGTGGTGCTGACATTTTGACTCCATTGTCCTGCGCACAACTATCTATATAAAGAAAAGTACATTAGGAAGGTGAAACAGCTCGCTGCGGATCCGATCCTACATGGACTCGAAATTAAGGCTTCTGCATAGATCTTCCTTGCACGCACCCATATGAAGCTGCCTCCCGTACACAGCACTCGATAGAAGGTCGCAAGGAGATGACTACGGCCACGTGCACCGTCTTTGTTAGATCACGGAATCGGGAACCATCATGATAACATGACAACGCACTGAACCAAGTACGGAATTTCCAAAATAACACACGCCAATGCGAAGAAATCCTCTTCCCGCCTATATGAGGGTTCATGCAGCCATCATGGGCTTCAGTTTTTTTTTTTTTTTTT